GACCCACCCAGCAGGGGGCCTACCAGCAATTCTTGCAAAGTCATGGAAACAGCAGCAATAGAAAAGAATAGTCTAAATAGTTGATCCATGGTGTTTTGTTTTGTTTTTAGAGGTTTTTGCTATAGGGTATATGCACTTGTCAGAAAGAGAGAGGCAGAGACAGAAAGTGAGAAATCACCCCCTAGGGGGTATGGCCATGCCACAATCTCTTCTCCTCCATTTTCCTCTTGGGATCTTGGGCATGCACACACATGCGCCCGGCATGAGTTTAAGCCACAGGGTCCAGGACTTGAACCACAGTCGACTACATGGGAGTCCAGCGACATAGCCATTACACCAACTGCTGGTCCTGGTCCATGGATCCTTTTTAGGTCAAGTGTCCTGATTATTTAAGTATAGTTGAGGCTTAAGCATACTTTGTATGATAGAAAACTATTTTGGATTTTAGAACATCCGTGTTTCAGAGACTCTGTGTTAAAAATCTGTAACAACTGGTAAATACTCACCAATTCATTTTTTTTTCAATTTCAGAATATTTAAATATTTAAATATCTTCACTATCAGCTCAGTAACCCTATAAGACAAGTCTTAGCATCCCATGAATACTTAAAAAAAAAAAAAAGACAAAACTCCTGATTTATTTAAAGCATTTGTGATTCCTCTCATGTATTTCCAATTTCCCACCTCATGTCTTTGGTGTTAATATATCCTTCCTTCCATAACTTTCTTAATTCCTCTCAATTACCTATTCTCCATATTTGACTCATATATAATCTTATCTATTTTTCCATCCCTCCCTTTCTTTCAACACAATTTATAGTACATTCAGCAATATTCAATCAACAAATAGTTACCGAGGTACTTACCAGGTCCTGGGCTATAAAGATAAATAAGGATTAAAGATAAATAAAGATTCAAAGTTTTGGAAATGAAAATGTAAATATTTTATTGCAGTAAGACTGATACTATAGTAAGTATCAATAAAATACTTTGAGTGGGGCAAGGAAATCTATTCCCAAGAAAGATGTACAGGAATGACAATGTTTGAGCTTCGTCTTGAGAAATAAGTGAGTTAGAAGGAGACAGGAAACACGATTGTTCGAGGCACAGTGAGGACACTGAATAAGCAGACACAGAGCATGGACAGTGAATAGTTCAATGGGAATCCAACTTCAGATACAGACACAGAAGTTAAGAGTCACAGGGAAGACTGAACTACACATGCTTCCTTATATAAGCTGCTCATGAGGGCCTTTACTTTGAAAGCAGTCTGAAGTCAAGAGAACATTGTTCAGGTGAGAGATCAGCACAGTGTTGTTGAAGGAGAAATTCAACTTTAATGAGGGAGGGTGGGCTAAGTCAGAAAGTAAAAATAGACAAATACACTCTCTGTGTGGGAAGCTGTGGTAACAATGTAGGTGTGAGAAAATGAGCAAAGATGAGGATAAAAGAGTGATATTCACATGACATTTCTGAAACCAAACCGACAGAAGTTGACAACTGTACATTTGTGTGTGTTTGTATTTGTTCAATGAAAATGGGTGCAAGGGTTAATGTATCCATTTTTCTTTGTTTACTAAAGAGCTAAGGAGGTATTGATGACATTCATGGAGAAAGCATTATGAAGAAAGGGTGAAGGTAGCAGGTAAGGTGAAGGAAAAAGATAGGTAGTTAATTTGATTTGTAGACATTTTCAGCTTGAAGTACATGTAGAGTACTACTACACGGGTGTGACCCGCCAGACCACAGGAAATTTAAAAAATGAAGCTCAAAAACAGGATTGTTGGGTGAAGACAGAATACGCAGCCATGAATATCCAATGGCCTTTAAAGTCAAAGGAGTAAATAAGGCCCTATAGATAGACAAAAGACAAAAGTAAAAACTTGGGGGACACACTCAAGAGACGAGCAGGAAACAAGAACATGGGGATGTAAGAACCAACTGATGGGGTTTTAAAATCTATAAAAGGAAGGACTTAAAGAGAGTGAACCAGTTCAACAGCATCGGATGTCTTACCTCATTCCAAACTATGGGGTTTATATTCTTCCACCAATTTTACCAAGTCCAAACACAATGCCCAGAACGTTGCTGTCAGAGCTCACACACACCAGTGAGCTCCAGAGACAAAATGTGAGCCCGCTGCTCTCTCAGTCCAAACCCAGTCTTTCTTCCTTTAAGATCCATCGCCTCTTCAGCAACAGCTTCACTGGACCTACTAGCGCCATTTTCTCAATCACTCTACATTAAATGAAGGTAAACTTCCTTCTTAGGATCATCAATTTCTACCATCAATAACTCATTTTTCCTTCTTCCAGATTCTACCACATCTGGGTTTTCATAAATTTAATGCAATCTCCCTTCTGATTCCTGACACCCTGCCTAAGTCTATTCTGCTTCATCTAATTGACATATGCCATCCATTCTTGCCTATAATTCGTAATCCTGACCATGTCAAAAAACAAAATAAATCTCATCTTCCCCATTGATTAGGACTATTCCATTATGTTGAGTTCCCTTGGCATTATTTGTAGACATGAATAAATGGTTGGACCCCTTGCTTACTCCAAAATTTTCAAATGTGTCTATTCTTTCTTCTCAAACTATAAATTTTTCAAGGGAAGATATGACTTTGTAGAGACAATTTTTAACCCTGAATTTTAAATGAGGATACGAGTAGGGATAGAGATGTAATGTTAATAAATGTGAATGTGGGTTCATTGCCATGGGTTCGGGGGCAAAGAGAAGCCCCAAATAAGTACCAAGGATAAATAAGGTAACTACTTATTCAACATTTAATGTGAAATGATATAGAGGGTTTAAGCAATCCGAAGTGGTCACACTTATCATAGGAGACTGCAGATTTACAGGAAACAGATTTTACAGCTCATTAGCCAGTTTTTAATTTTGTTTTCTCAGGGGAAAAAAAAACACATTTAAAATAGTTATTTGAATACACTGTATTTTGATCAGACGTAGCAACATCTGTACTTAACAGTGTTACAATATATGTAAGTCAACAATATTTCAAATAAAGTAGTATTGGTCTTTTAGATTTCCTCTGAAATCTATGTTCTAGAAATGTGGTCCAGTGTTGCAGCTGGACAATGAATTCCTTTGCAGCCTAGCTAACGGCCAAGACACAGTTCCAGTGCTAACAGTATCTAAGGGCAACGCAATATAAACCCTGGCTGTTTCCTGAATCTACATTTCAAAGATAGAATAACATGAGTGAAACTAGAAAGAAACTCAACAGAAATATCCCAGACCAGCCATCACACAATAGGCAGGGTTTTGTTTTTTTGTTTTTTGGGGGGTTTTTTTTGAAGACAGATATGAAAATGAATCACAGAATTGTTCTTTCATGATTTCCCCATTACTTGAAATACACATAAATATATTTTCAGGGGGTGTGTGTGTGCGTGTGTATGTATGTGTGGGTGGATTAGAATTCCCAAGTTCTTTCTTAATTTAAATAAAAATCAAATGCATACCTATCCACATGGAATAAGCATACAGTGTCTTAGTTGGAAAAGGTCCATGACTGACTCTTTCTGTTTGAAGGTTCACAGATGAAGAAGTCATAGAATTTCTCACTTTGGACAAACACTTTAAAATACACAAGTTGCAGAAATATGACATATTCTGCACAGAACTTTGAAATGAGCTAATAATTCAATTAGATATCCTATTAAAGCAGGATGAGGAGACATAGAATTAGACATATATATCTTAATACTATTTACTGAGTCCTTGCAGCATGCCTCATAAACCTAAACTTTACACAAGTTATCACATTTAATCTTCCCAACAACCCTTTGAGGTGAGAACATAGACTAGTCTCAACTCAAGGAAACTAAAGTAGAACGAGATTAGTCGGTGTCCAACGTCACATAGCTAGAGAGTGTTGACACCAGAATTTAAACTAGGGATCCAAATTCCTGGGTCCTAATTCTGACTCTTTGATGAGTTCTACTGAGTGCTACTTCCTTTAGGATAAAATATTTTTTCCCAATAAAAGTTAAAATTATATAATGACTTATTTTTAATGGGTGATAGGAACTTATATCTTCCATGTTTCATGAAAGTTACCTAAATAGAGAATAACAAGAAAAACTAATATAAATACTGGAATAAAAGAAAACGACAAAATGTATTAAAACGAACTGCACTCTGAAATGTTTCCAAAGGAGAGATGTTATTCCTAAGAATCATTAAATAATATTTACTATTTATTATCAGGCTCTGCTAGTGCATTTCGAATTCACGGAAGTAATATTTTTGAAAAGTTTTCTAAATATGTGGAGTATTAAATAGTATACTAATGAGTTACATGCTAATAGTCAAGGAAATAATTTTGTTTCCTAAGCAGGCTTAATTTACTCTGAGTAAATATAAGATTATTGAGGATAAGTTACAGAGGTTTATTTAATCTTGTGTCTAGGCTTGTTTTCACCAATGATAAATCCAGAAGGAAAAAAAAAGCCATTGTTAAAGCACCTTTAGACAAAAATCAATCCCTATAAGGCAGTCTTTATTATATCATTTACATATGAGTAAGAAATTAAAGCCCATTAATGTATATCAGGAATTCAGGAAGATTCTTTCAAAATGTTAGTCTTGGAAGTTTTCAGATCCATCATTTATAAGAAGGTTCTATCAGTTAAGAACTAGAAAGCAACTGTCCTACTCAGTTCCTTAAAAGCAAATACACCAGCTTTTCACCATTTCCAGAAGAGTAAGAGCAGAATATAGAACACTTCATGGAACATAGCATCTTATGGTATTTAGTTCTACTCTGAAATTCAGAGTTCTTAGACAGAATAGGTCCACTAACAGAAGAATATGCAGAGAAAGATACTCACAGAAGCAAGCTTTTTATTTCATAGAGAAAAAAAGTGGATGAAAGAGTAGCATGAGTGAATTTAGTGTGGTAGCTGAAAAACATTGATGAACATTTATTTCTTTTGTACATACCACTTGGAAAAAAAAATAGTCCTTACCATATACTCCATATTAGAAGCGGTTGGATACACCTGACTTCGTAATTTATTGTGAAGGTCCAAGATACTCTGCATGTCATTGTCTGTGATGGCCCTTTTCCCTCTTTGCTTGGCCATCCACCATTCACCATCCTCATCCATGTACTTTTCCAAAAGCTTCTCCAATAAAGTGGCATTAGGAACTACCATGGCAGGAATAGCTCTAGCCATGAATAGCACTGCGGTTACTCCGAGCCACTCCCTTGCGGCACACTTCATCATGAATGACCTCAGGATTTCCCTGGGAAAATCTCCAAGACAGGCTCTTCCACGGCTTTTGGCTATAACGACCTGTCACGTGATTAAGATGAAAATAACAACAGATATTGATTTTCTAGTAACAAAAGCAAAACGACAGTTACAAAGGGTATCTGCCAGTTGATCTTTCTGTATTAATGCCAGCAAATGGACAACGACTGTTTGAATTAACTTATCTCCAACCCACTTTTTTCTTCGAGAGGACATTTCACAATACATTGTTTCGGCAAAACAGACAGCTATAGTTTCTAAAACAATATGCAAGAGGCAAAAAGTAAATGGCAAACCGCCCAGAGAAGATTGAAAATAATTTGACCTACGAGACTTTAAACAGCTCTATAGTACATGTATCCTCCAAAAGGTATAACCAGAATGTTCTATTTCAATGTAGAGGTCTACATTTCTCTACAGAGATATTTAAAGGTATGGCTTTATTACTTAAGGTACTTTATTCTACTGCCCTATCTCTGTCCCAGACATTCATAATATCCACAACGTTCTTAAATTAAGAGTGGATTTTTTCTTTTAAGTACAAAATGCAATTTATACAAGCAGCCACGGGGTACATCTAGAGGACCCAGAGACCTGCAAATGAATGATTTGGGTCGCTGGGGGAGATCTATTCCTATCTATGCACAAGTCAGAATTCAAATCACTATTCCCTGGAAAGTTAGTGCCTCATTGGTGGCCTGCGCCCGAGAAGGCCAGCAACCCGCAGGGCAACTCCGGAGCTTTTCCTGCCTTACGCCGCAGGCGCACACCGCACACTGAACCCAAAGCAAAGCGCGCCACGGACCCACAGTCACCGAGGAGAGAAAGCCTCGCTCATCTCCATTGCTGCTACTCTCCGGAGCAGCCACCCCGAGTCCGTGCCTGGATATTTTCTACAAGCTTTCCCTTTTTTTTCTTCTTTAAAAGTAAGTTCGTAAAAGAAAAGGGGGGACAGGAAAAAGTGGCAGCCCGACCACCCAGAGATGCGTTTCAGCGGTCCTTACCACTCCAGCGTGACGCTCCCTGCGTGAGCGGAGCCCACCAGGAC